GCCATAACTGATGTTCCTTCGTTCTTTTCTTTATAGCGCGGTCAAATTGTGCACACTGGGAAAAAAAACACATTGGATCTAGGGTCCAGACTCTTGAAAACATTGACAAGAAAAAATACTCTTGATTCAATCGGATTTTTGCTTAAATCAAAACGAAATCCGCTTAAATTAAGAGGCTTGGTTCTTGATTTAAGCTAGATTCTGGTTGAATCAAGAGTACTTTTTCTTGTCGATGTTTTCAAAAGTCTGAACTCTAGATCAAATGTGGTTTTTTTTTCCAGTGTTGTTATTCCTTTCTTCTCAGCGCGGTCAAATTGTGCATTCTCCAAATGTCAGGTCAGAGGACACCGGAGTTCATCAACAATGCACGTCAAAAACCGCGAAGCTAACGTATGTCCACAACCGTCCATCAATCGCACCGCTAATCGTTCACCGGACACGTTAAACGATCGTTCAGCCGAAGCTCGTTGCCATCGACGACGCTAGGTATATCCGTTGCGATCCATTAAATGTCATTACAGGCGTGAAAAGAGCCCGAAGACGCCGAGTTCAAAGCGGGTTCAAGTTCAGCATGAGCCCGAGTACGGAACTTGGGACATCGACACGGAACACTGCAATTTGGATCGGCGATTACGCGAGCACCCCCCACCCTCACCCCTCTCCGGGGAAATGGGGAAATACTTTCAGGTCCGACACGCGCCTCCGCCTAGGTCTCTCCCCCCCGCGAAACGAGAAAAAAACGAAGAAAACAATGGGTCTAGCCATCAGCAACCACTCTGTGCAGCATCGCACCCAAGGTCAAGTTTGCTGGCGGGCCCGGAGACTCGCCTCTCAGCGGACGGGACCAGCTTCAGTCAGTGGCCCAACTCTCAAGCTTCCAGTTCAAGTTTCGACCGCGTCCCTAAGACCGGTGTAGCTTGCTGTGCTCATACTCTAAGTGGTTTTATCTCGCAGTTCTGTGATTTGTTACGCTTTTTTTTGGACTATAAAAGGATAAAAATTCAACTGTGAGTATAATTTTCGCATTTCTCGGTTTTCACACTTATACTTGGTAAACACGAAGGGATGCCTATAGAAATACATGGTTTTGATTTTCAGGAATGTTGGAAAAATGCATAACCTGATGGCTTGCATTTTGTACATTATTCAGGTGTATTTTTCAGATAAAACTTTTTCTCGAAAAAAGTAATTTTGAAAAAAAAAATAAATAAAAATAAACGTGGCGAACAAGATAGGTGTAAATTTTTTGTTAATTTAATTTATTTGCGATTAAAAACCGGTATAATCAATTTTCTGTACAGAGATTAATAGTGTTGAGTCCAACTGATCAGATACCTCGCCCGATAAAGCAGTAACCGCGCCATTCTCATTATTATCTCCATCTTTTTTGTTGTCGATTTAATTTAATCTCATGGCAATTTAGTCTGGAATTTTAATTTAATCATTTGCAGTTTACAAAATTTTTTTTTTCTTTAGTTTTTAAACTGATTTAAGTGTGGCCGGCCAAGTCACGTAAAGGTTTGTTTGCGAATCTCAAATGAATGCTTGTATATCGAATGGATTGATACCTAACGATAGGGAAGTTCTTAGACGTTCCAATGAGAGAGATTTCTAAGGGATTGGGCTAGAATGGTTCAAAAAGTATTTTTGCTCAAATTCACGCACAAGCTGCGGAAAGGTAAAAATTGACCCGGAAAGTGCACACACAAACTCATTGCTATCGTGGTGTCATTGATTGGATAGCTATCCTAATCACTCTCATATCACAGTGTAAATTAATGGACTGCATATTTCATATCTCGCATTTTCAGTTTGCTTGATGCGCTTTTAAGTATGTTTGCTTTAAAAGATGGATTGATCTTACAGGAAAGACAAATCCTCTCTCATTACTGCAAAAGTTTTTACTCGTTTTTCTCCACTGAATTTTTTGCTATGAATGAGAAGTATATTTTCAAAACCTGCAAAAGGAAATTTTTTGTAATTACTTTTTCATTACGAAGCGAGAGAGTTTGCTCCTTGACACATTAGAAACTATTTAGCTTCGAATTTTTGTGGCGCGCCTTCAAAACTCTCGAGATGCAACCCGCCACGCGATTTGTAGGCAGGAATGGGATCTCTATTGCTTGCTGGCATATTATAATTCATGGTCATTTTTTTAAAAATCAGTTCAAAAAGGATAAGGTGAGAAATTCAAAACTGAGCAAAAACAAGAAAGTCTAATTCAGTTAAAGTGGGCAATTCAAAACAAGTGAACACATGAATAAATCCTTGAGTTAAGACGATGGAGTATAGGTGATTTTGAGCTCAATTCATCTTTACCTTAATCAATCAAATTATATGGTTGGCTTATGAAGTAATTTACTTTTGTCGATGCATTACGTTTATTACTTGAGGTGAAAGTTTTAGAACCTGGTGGGTGCTTGTGATGTAATGAATTTAGAGCACTTGCAGTTTGGTCCATTTTTATTAGATATCAAAATTAATTTATCGAGCATGAAATATTCTCGTGCTTGGCTGTAATTTTGGTTCGAAGTAAAATTTATTATGAAGAGGAATTAGGGTTTTATCTTTCACTCGCAAGATTCAGTACTCCAAACGATGAGAGGTGAGAGGCTGGTTATTTTAAACCAGGAGCACGTTCTGAGATCTCCGCAGGCTAAGATAAGTAAAGAATCGACTTTGGTAAATTCAAATACCACGTGGTTTTGCTTTCACATTCTCTCATTTCGCGCCATTGAGATGTTACTTTTTAAATACAGTATTAGAACTTTTCGATTGTTTTTTCCTCTTTTTAAAACATTAATCCTCTAAGACGACCTTTAATCCCTTCGTAAGACGCTCTGATTTAAACGGACATTAACAGAGTCGGAATTGTAACATGACAGGTTTAATAAATCGAGTTTGCCTGTCACTTAGAATCAAAGTTTTTGCGCATTCTGTGCGAGGAAAATAATGCTCATAAAAGCCCAGACAGAATGGGTAATCCGTCCAAAACTGTATTTGTAAACGAGAGAAAAAATAAACGGAGGTAACACTTGACGGAGGAAGTGTGAAGAAGATGACAAAAAGAACCTAAAGTTTTGTTGGCACGGCAAACTTTAAAAGAAATATGTGACCCATATGTTCAGATTTCAAAAAAGAAGTGCAAAAAAAGACATCACACGGCAAAGGACTTCCTTAATGGTTTATTTTGCCTTTCTGCAAAGTCACGCTGAACCAGACTGGACTCTCCTTAGCTTCTCTTGGCTCATGATGTAATTTATGAACAATCTCCCCTTTAATACACGCGTCAGTCGGTGCATTTCCTCTTTCATAACCCCGTTAGTTTTGCTACAAAAATTAAATTAAGGCAAAACTTTTGAAACACCGCGATCGAGATACGTGTTTATCTAGTTCTATTATCGAGATACTGCAATGAGAAATCCGTTCATGATCATTCATTAATGCTCCATTTGATCAGCAGTTAAATCAGGATCTAAAGCGGGCATTCCTTACGTCATGGGTGAAAGGTAGACCCAGGGGAAGGGCGGGCCGATCAAGAAAAATGTTTATTCCATTTAACTTTTCGATGTGTTAGCCAGCAATCAACCGCTGAAATGCACACGTGACATCTCATACCCACTAGAATGTTGCATTTATGACGTCACTTCAGGGATTCCCTTCAGAATCAGGAACCGGTTATGCAACACACGTCGTGACGTTGAATTTACATTGAAATACAAAGGATCATCCAAGATTACGTGAAATCAACATTGTTTTGATGTAAAGGAGCATGTTGATTAAAGGATGTTTTATACTGTTTGTACTCATGATTGTTTGATTCACGACAAATTGACCATGAGGATTGTATCCGCGTGGTCAATGTTGAATCCACGTTGATTCAACGTGTATGTTTTAGTATGAATTAGCTAGTTCACGAACCTTCTTGAAATCATAAACCAAAATTCAGCGTGGATTCAATAATGAAGGTTGAAAATGGATTCTATCGTTGCGACTCTACGTGGGTTTAAATGGGCAAATTACTAAAACCCAATCGGTAGCTTATTGAATGACCTTAATCAATAAAAACCCCAATTTTTCCCGAAAATCAATCGAGTCCATGGGTTCATTTTTAAAAACACTAAGCTGATGAATAAAATCAATATCAGTTATGTTGTTTCTAAACTATGCCAAAAAATTGCCAAAAAATTTTGTTATCCATTAAGGGGTCTTTATCGATTGAGATCATCGGACAAAAATAGCTATAAGGCTCCAATAATCAACTCCCAGAAAAAGAATCCAGCCAGCTAAAAGTGAGAAAAGTTGAGGTTGTCCAGATTTTGAACACCTAAAATACAGTTTTTCACAATATTATCCCCCCTTCCCCCCGTCTCGCATTCTTTTCTTGAGACTCTATTGGAGAGCAAGAAAGCATGAACATCATCCCCTTCACCACCCTTCTATGTCTGTACCTGCCATTGGTAGATTCCACGCTTTGGTTAAACTTCACAGAGCTTTGGTTTGCACAGAATTGAATGCTAATAATAACATAAGCACTTACTATGCTGCATCTGGTGGGAATAAGAGGGTATCAATGTTTATTGAACCATCAATGCCTGCATGTGCCTGTGCCGTTTCATAGAATAAACGTGAGGCTGCATGGCTACACTTCCTCTATTGAGCTTTCGCAGAAAGCGAGAATTCCCCCGGCTGATCTTTGGACGCTTTGGGCCGCAGCCACACTGCTCGGTTAACTCTTTCGCTCTTCTGGCGTAAAGGCGTAAATCAACTTAAACGTGAGCCTTGCTTTGCATAAAACCCTATGCTTTTCTCGGGTCATCTGGAAAAATATACACGCCCTTACGTCAGAGGAGCGACAAATCGCGCAGTCTCTTAATCTATTTTTATCAGCTGTTTTGGCGTAATTTCCCCTCGTCGGGTTTTCGTGTCATGTCGATCGCGGGTCAAGTTCAAGAAACCCTTCCCCCAGTAAGACTTTCATCATCGAATGTGTGATAAATGATAACGTGTGCCCGACGTTTGATCAATGAAAGCCATTTGCGGTCTCCGGAATAGATTAATCGAGAATCGAGAGCAGACCGGCTTCTAAGCTGGTGGCTAGCATTTTCCTCACGTCGTCAACTCGGGCCTTGTGTCGGTTCCGGCGTCTCTCGCAGCCAGTCGCCGCTTTTCCGCGCTTTCGTCGTGTTTTCAAAGGCGTAGGGTGTGTCTTTCAAAGTCTCGTGTGCGTTGATTTTACCGCCTGTGATCGAAGGATTTTGTCACGTGTGAGCGGACCCTCGTAAAATTGATGATTTGATGATCTGGTGGTCAGTCTCCCGGTTTTCGCATAAAATTTGAATAACTTTTCGGTCTCGCCGTCGTGGAAACCTCGGACGGTGTGTTAGTTGTGATTTGGAAGCTGCAAAAAATGTGCCACACTTAGGATTAACATGCTTATGTAATTTCTCGCCCAAATAAACGAGGTGGAATATTTTCTCAAAATGGTTTGTTAGGTGGGTGAAATCAGCTATTTTACTTTCGCAGCAAGTGATTTTTCCTTTTTGATCTGGAATTTTTTGTGTTATTTTTATATTTATGGATTTATCGCAAGAAAAAATTCTGAGTTGGGGGAAAATTGGAAAAACTCGAGTTGTTACGTGAGTCTTATTTTAACAGCTGTATGATTTGAAGCATTTGCAATTTTAGCCTGGTTCTATCCGTTACGAGTTTAACCTGTGGCTAAAATTTGTGGAGGATCTCTGCGTAAATATTCAATTGACCGAATGTCGAGACTCTTAGTTCCAAAAATATCTCACAAGAATTGAAAATCTTATTTGGACCATTACATGTATTTGAGAGCAGTAAAATCTTCAGAAGCAGCGAATGAAGGTTTGTTTTAACGAGAGGTCAAATTTGACCAGAGGTCGTGATACTGAGCTTTATTGCTGTTCAGTTTTCGTTTTTAAATATAATTTACGAATCTTGAAACTTCGGGAACAATATCCGGGTTCTCTGCGATGTAACCCACAACATTCATAGAAAATGATAACAAATTTGATTAGAAATAAAGATGAGGCAAATCCGAGATTACTGAGATTTTTGCTTCTTTTTCTCAGGATTTCATAAATGATAAACATGAGTCATATGCTTCCTGATTCGTGTGATTTGATTGCACTTATTTAACCAACTTATCAAAAATAATGTGCCCACGTGAATGAGCTAGGTCTGCTTATGGGCATTTTTTAATCAATTTTTTAGTGGGTTAATCTGTTCATTCTTGAGACTACATGCATTTCAATAATTAGATCTTATCAAAAATTCTGGAATTACACAATCAACTCAGTTATAAAGCCTCTCTTTTAAATTTTCTCTGAGAATTGAACACTGGGAATGAAATTTGAAAGTTATCAATCGAACAATGACACAGAGGAAACAAAAAACTATCCGATTTCCCACGGCGGCATTTCCTCTTATGAAAAGTATACAGCTGTCGATAATGAATGGTCATGAGGGTAAATATCATGAATTCAAATGAGCGCAAACTCATTGAGCACATTATGGATTCAAGAGTTCATGGTCATTTCTATTAAAGAGAGCATGTGGCCAGCCGTTGACTTATCTCGCTTCACCGGAACAAAGATCCCGTTCCGACGGTAGTGTAGCAATTGAAATGAACCAGTCTTGATATTCAATTTATACAAAAAGAAAAACTTGTGAGGAATATCTCTGATTGGGATCGTTATAATATTGCTCTCTAGAAGATGAATTAAGAGTGTACTTTCCCCTTTACAAAGCGCTGAAGTTTCTTCTAATACGTGGGGGCCGGTCGTTAAAGATACTGTTGATTCAACAGACTCTTATTGAACAATATTTTCCGTTTGAAATTGTCTTGCAAGTCTGGCAGGTCTAAGAATAGCCCTTAGAGCTCCAGTCAACCCCCTTTAGAACAAATACACTTTACGAAGGGGTTGGCAGGTGTATTTTAAGACGTCATCACGTCATCTACAAGTGGCCCATAACATACCCTAAAATAATCTGAAATTTGACATGGCGATTTTCAACTGATTTTATTCAAGGCCTACATTTCAGCCTTAAACAAATATTCAAAGCCTCATAATTTCCCGCAAATTCAGTAAAACTTAGATCTATCGGGCTCTGATTTACCTAGTTGTCCAAGCAGTTTTGACCACAGCTCATCATTATTATTTGCTGCCATTATTATTGGCTGCCGTGCTCAGGAAGAACGCCGCATGAACATTGGAGAGTTGCCACATTTCCTGCGATTAAATGTTTTTTTTTTTTTTTTGCGAAACGTTATGAATATTTTTCATTGAAATTTTCAGGAACTTCAGGTGAAATTGCGAACCAAATCATCAGAAAAATTAGAAGGAAAATATTCACAAGCTTGCCAGGAATTTTGTGTTTTATCAGGAGAAATTTGGCAATGCCTTAAGGTTCATACGGCGTTTTTCCTTAGCACGGCAGAGGGGATGTCCTCCTGGCTGCTTTGCGCCCTCTGAGGTTAGGTTTGCGGTTCCCTGTGAGTTGAGTTTTCAAAATCTGAATAGAGTGGAATCATCTAGAGACCTGTCGCGCTGGCCCCAAAAATCATGGAAATTAGCCGAGTAGACCGGTAGTGACAATAAATGAAAATTTAGGCGGTCAGAGAGATTAAAATGAGGATGATACAACTTTGTTTTGCGTATCTTTTCTTTCTTTTTAAAAAGCTTCATTTGCGTTCGCACCGTTGTAATTTCATGGCAAACCTGATTAAAACTCCTAATTTTCCTCCAAGATCAGGTCCTTATTAGAGAAAAACTACTGAGAAGAAGTCTGTAAACGCAAGATAATCGATGAAAAGTCAGGGTCTGAGGTCATGGCGTGCGACAATTTGGCCACGGTTCGCGTAATACCTGCACGTTTGGCTTTGTCATGCAATGCACGGTGTAATTACACCCTTAACGCGAGTATGCAAGCCGACTCCTGTGAACCAATCTGGGCACACACTCCTCTCCCTATTCTCATTGAAGTATGTACGAATTATGAAGGCATTTTAATAAAGGAGCATTTCCATGAATTATTCATAGCTTCGCGAACCATTATTCTCAAGTAATTTGCCTTTAAAGTGCGTTGATTCCGCTCATTTTTCCCGCCAGGTGCACCTCAGCGCCAATGTTGCCATTTTGATGAAATTTCTATTAGTTACTAATTGAAATGAGCTCATTATATTGGCAAGCTTTAGTTGAACAATGACAACACTGTAGATCTGAGGGTGACCAAAGATAATGGTGCAGGATGTAGAAGGGACTATTAAGTTGGAAGTTGTTTCATCAAACAATTTTTATCTCATCTGTGTCAAGAAAATCTTCAAAGGTATTCTTTGGAATTGACATACGCCGAGAAACTTTAATCGGAAGTTTTGTTAAGAAATGTCATTGGCCTCATGTCTTCAAGTCGCTGGTCGTTGGCAAACATAAAACGGAAGCGCCTTCATTTTTTGACGAGGCAACATGGGCAGTCCTGAAGCAGATTTAATTGCATTAAGGCGTCAATATGGAGCCCGTGTGTTGGTGAAGACAGAGGTATGAATAGGACATTGTGTGATTCATTTCGTAACTGTGAGAAACAGTTCAATCATTTAAATAAGTTTTTGAGGTGGGACTAAATACTGGACCGAAAAGTTAGACCGAGCTTGGAAACTACCAAAAATATTTTACGGGCCCAGAAATGCTGGCATGAAAATAATCACTGATATGCATGAAAAGTAAAGTACCTATACGAAATTTTCTAATGTAATTTAAGAGTGGAAGTTAATTAATTATGTAAGTACAATGAATACAAATATGAATCAATTTTAGAACCATCGATAAGCAGATTTCATTACAGCCGTGATATAATCGCTATATACCAATGTAGCCGTTATTGTAAGCCGTGGGAAACATAAACGCAAAATAATGGAACCTTTGTTTCGAGTTCATTGAAATCACAAAATTTATTCACGGATTTTTTCCTTTTTAGTCAATAAAGCAAGCCACAGGGAAAATTTCACCGAGAGGGAAGACGAAAGATTTGAATAATTAAGACCGATTTTTTTTTTGACAAAATCTCCGAATTTTGCACCAAAATAACTCTGATCAATTAAAATTTTGTGTTTTTTGATCTCGCATGATTGCCTTACTTGTATCAAACAAATAAACTATACTTACTTACACAAATAAACTCTCCCTCATTAAATTCTATTTCACTTGTGAATTTACCTCTCCAAAAATAAACCAAGGAACAAAGCAACGTTCGAAATTTCTAACGCTTGTTTTGTCCCTTACGTAAACTTAATTTTTTGTCTGCAGTTGGATTTTTTCGTTTAATTTGTTGGATCGAGGTATTTCCGCGAAAATTGTTTCTTAAAAACATAAAATTTATTATATTTCGAGTGTTTCAAGTTCAAGGCATGTAATGCTATTCAATGACAAAAGAACGAGAGAAAAAAAAGAAATGAAAGGGTGCCAATGTGATTAC